CGTTCGGCAGCGAGGCCCTGGTACAATGTTGTCACCGTTTAGCGACGGTGCCCCAATACAATGGTGCCAGGGTGCGTCTCGCTATTTCGAATATCGAATGCATGTTCACGCAGTTTGGATGTCGGACCAAGATGTTTTCCACGTCAGTCGAATACGCTTCGTCAAAATAATTTTGGGCGGAATCGCCATTTCAACTTGGGACCAACGAGTTTAGACATCAAGTCGAAGTTACTTTTTCCGAGGAAATCCCAAGCGAAAACCACACTGTCGACTGTTCTTGCCACCCAATTTTAAAAAGACAGACGGGTTGCCCGAGTCGAAACGGCGATTCCGCTTGAGACTTCATCGAAAAACACTTCGACCGAAGTCGCAATTTTCGGGCTCGAAATCGACACCGAGATTTCGCATAATACGTCTTCCAAAACAATCGTCGAAACTCGTTCAGTTCAAAGTCAAAGTGGGGATTCCGCCCATGACTTCCCTAAACAACTCAATTCGCACCTTCTCGGATCTGAAATCGGAATGGGGAGGCTTGCTGCCCGCAGGCTCTCTGACGCTTCATGGCGCGACGCTTAATGGCGCGATGGTCCCTGCCCACCATTCGGCGACGTCGTTCGGCATTGCACTGGTAAGGTCACGAAATGAATCACAGCTTTCGTAGCGGCGATGGACCCGCATGGTGGACATGAACGTTTGCTTTGGTCCCAGCGGTCCCTACTGTCAGCCGCCGAGCGCAGCTGCCACGTGCACAGCACTGATTGCAACGCCGCCATCCTTCGCCTGAAATCCCGCTGGGCCTGCATGGTGGAAATGAGCGCTTGCTTTGGTCTCAGCGGTCCCTACTGTCAGCCGCCGAACGCGGATGTCTTGTGCGCAGCAGTGTTTGCCACGCGATCATAAACCGTCTGAAATCCCAATGGGCCCGCATGGTGGACATGAACGTTTGCTTTGGTCGCAGCGGCCCCGACTGTCAGCCGCCGAGCGCGGCTGTCAAATGCACGACACTGTTTGCAACGCGACCATGCTCCACCTGAGATCTCACTGGGCCCGCATGGTTGGCATGGACGTTTGAGCGGCCCCGACTGTCAGCCGCCGAGCGCTGATGTCAAGTGCGCAGCACTGCTTGCAACGCGACCATAACTCGCCTGAGATCCCATGTCGCTGCCATGAAAGCTCGGCCAACATTTAGCTCTTTCCGTTCGGCGGCGGCGGCCTGGTACAATGCTGCCAACGGGAGACAACTTGAAAAGGGGCCAGTTTGGCGACAGGGCCCCAATACAATGCTGCCAGGGTGCGTCTTGTTGCTGCGTGTAGCGAATACGATGCCAAGCAGTTCGGATTCCAGACCAGGGTGTATCGACGTCGAGCGCACGCGCTTCGTCGAAACAATATTGGGCGGAATCGCCATCTCAACTTCGGGCCAACGAGTTCCGACATCACGTCGAAACCGCTTTCCCGGGGAAGTCCCGAGCGAAAGCCTCACTTTCAATGTTTCTGACTACCGAATGTGAAATGCCAAAATCATGCTCGCAATTGAAATCGCGATTCCGCTCAATACTGCCTCCAAGACAAAGGTCGAAGCCCTTTCGCTTCAAAATCAACATGGGGATTCCGCCCATGGCTTCCCCAAACAACTCAATTCGAACCTTTTCGGGATCGGGATCGACATGGGGCGTCTTGCTGCTCGCAGGCTCTGGTGCTTGATGGCCCGATGGTCCCTGCCCACCATTGGAGACTTCGTTCGGCATTGCACTGGCAAAGCACGGAAGTGGTCGAAACTTTCGCAGCGGCGATGGACAAATCATGGCTGACATGAACGCTTGCTCTGGTCTCAACGGTTCCTACTGCCAGCCGCTGAGCGCGGATGTCGTGTGCGCAGCACAGACTGCAACGCGATCAGAAGTCGCCCGAGATGCCACGGGGCCCGAATGGTGGACATGAGCGTTTGCTTGGGCCTCAGCGGTCCCTGTCGGCAGCCGAACGCGCATGCCACGTGCGCGGCGCTTTTGCCAGCGCGGCCAGACTTCGCCTGAGATCCCACTGGGCCCACACGGTTGACATGGGCGCTTGCTTCGGCCCCAACGGTCCCTACCGCCAGTCGCCGAGCGCGGGTGTCACGTGCGCAGCACTGTTTGCAACGCGACCACTGGCCATCGCTCGGAGGTCCATTTCCTGTGTTTTTTTCGGTGTTGTGCGTAGTCTTTTCGCCAAATGGTCGAGGATGCTCCTCGATGGTCCTCGCCGAAGGAAGAATGCACACGTCCGAGCGATGCCAAGACCACAACTTTCCCGAGATCCCCCTTCTCTGCTGCGAGAGCTCGGCCGAAATTTGACTCTTCCCTGTCGGCGGCGGGTCCCCCACAAAATGTTGTCAACAGAAGACACATTCAAAGCGGCACGTTTGGCAACGGGGCCCCAGAAGAATAATGCCAGGGTGCGTCTCGTCGTTTCGTGTTGCGAAAGCATGTCCAGGCAGTTTGGATATCGGGCCGGTGACTTCGACGTCGGTCGAGCACGTTTCGTCGAAGAAGTATTGGGCGGAATCGAAAAATCGATTTCGACATCAAGCCGAAACTGTTATTTCAATCCCAAGCGAAAACCACTCTGTCGACTTTCCAGGCTACCGAAATTAAGAATCATACTGCCAAACATATTGCCCGAGTCGAGACGACGATTCGGCTTGAGATTACATCGAAGAAACCATTTCGATCGAAGTCGAAACATTTGGTTTCGAAATAGAAATCGCGATTCCGCCCAGTAGCTCCTATTAGCTCCTTCAAAGAAGAAATCGAAACCCGTTCGGTTTAGAGCCAAAATTGCGATTCCGCCCATTACTTCCCCAACGCTCAAGTTGAAACTTTTCGGATTCGAAGTCGGAATGGGGCGTCTTGCTGCCCGCAGGCTCTGGTGTTTAATGACGCGATGGTCCCTGCCCGCCATTTGAGGATTCGTTCGGTAGTGTATTGGTTGAGCAACGACATCGGTCAATACTTTCGTAGCGGCAATGTAATTTCTCGATGGCCTTGGGGCCAAGCAATGGCGCCCCGATGCTGCGAGAACGGCCACCAGACCCCTCCCCCCCTCCACACAGTGATGTGTCCTTCTCACTCCGCGAGAAGGACTGACCGAGGTCCGAGCAACGGGAGGTCTCCAGAGGCCCCGAAAACTTGATCCTCGAATCCCGATCCTCGATCCCCCTCCCTTCGATCCCATCCTCGAACCTCGATCCTCGGACCTGATCCCTCGATCCTCCTCCGTCCCCTCGATCCCCTCCTCCCCTGCTCCGCAGGCAGTCGGGCGCTCTGCGGCGCTCTTTGGCCTCGGGGGGGGCCTCCGGGGTCGAATATGGGGCTAGGACCCGTGGCGGAGGCACAACTCACCACCTCCTCCTCCCCCATCTTCTCCTCCTCCTCCTCCTCCTCCTCCTCCTCCAAATCCTCATCCTTCTCCTCCTCCTTCTCCTCCTCCTCCTCTTTCACCGTCTCCTCCTCCTCCTCCTCCTTCTCCCTCCCCCTTCCCCTTTCCCTCCTCCTCCTCCTCCTCCTCCTCCTCCTCCTCCTCCTCCTCCTTATCATCCTCCATTCCATGTAGATAATTCCTCCCTGTCGCACCCCGAGGCCAGTTTTTAGGGCGGGCGGGGCGTTTCGCCTGAGACGTCCTCACCATTTATGACACTGAAGCTTAAAACGTGGCAACAGTTTCACAGATGGAGGGCGGGTGATTTTCAACATGTGGCTCTCGCCTTAGCGCCGCGCGCATTCGTTTGACAAGTTGCAGGAGCTTCAAGGATTGAGGGCGGGTGGTTTTCAACATGTGGCTCTCGCCTTAGCGCCGCACGCATTCGTTTAAACACATTGCAAGAGTTTCACGGATTGAGGGCGCGTGGTTTTCAACATTTGGCTCTCGCCTTAGCGCCGCGCACATTCGTGTTAAACATTTGCAACAGTTTCGCGGATTGAGGGCGCTTCCTTTTCAGAATGTGGCTCTCGCCTTAACGCCGCGCACATTCCTTTAGACAAATTGCAAGAATTTTACGGGTTCCCATGATCAGTGTACCAGAATTGGTGTTTGGGAAGAATTCAGGATTATGCGGGTGCAACAGTTATAGTGGTTCGCAGTGTTGAAGTTCCAACAATGGCGTTCTGTCACGATTCCGGATCGTCAAGACGCAGCGGTCAGGTTGATCCGCGGCGTTGAAATTCCGAGAACTATGTTTTGGCACGCTTCAGGGTCTTCAAACGGTTGTCTTCCAACGAGGCAGCTCCATCAGTGGAAGTGAACCGTTGTAAGGGCCTATGAAGAGGGAGCTTGGAGGGAGGGTTAATTCCAACATCGTTGATGACTCTTGGGTTTACACTGGTCCTCCTCCTCCTCCTCCTCATCATCATCCTCTTCCTCCTCCTCCCTACGGCCCCTCTGCCAACGAAGACGGCCGTAGGGAGAGGGGTGCCAACGTACCTCCACAACTTAGACCCTCATACCTTAAGGCGCCAATTGCCACCATCCAATGTCTTCCTCCTCCTCGCAAGGTGTCATAGCCACCGCTATGAAAGCTGAGCGCACCGTCGTACTTCCGAGAATATTCGAACACTAAAGCTGCGGCAGCTTCTTACTGATCGTATGATGCATGGCCTCACGAGCTGGAAAGGGAGGACACCACGCCTATAAGCAAACTGTGAAACATTTGCCGCGTGGAACACCATTGGCCCTATCGGCAGTGCGGGAGGGGCCAGCCAGGCATACACGGCCCTCAACTCATTCTCCCCCTCCTTCCTTTCTCATCTTGAGTATTGATTCACCGATCCCCATCCCCAGCGGCGTGGCCTGGGCCCCACTGGCCGATTTCCCCCCCTAGATGGGGATATAGGTCGTTCCCGTTCCCTTTGGGTTTCGAGGAGTGTATCCCCAACTGGGGTGGTAATTTGGTGGGGGTCTCGAAAGGGATGGGGATGGGGATGGGGATTGGTTAAACGATACCGGTATCTGCACCCTCCCCCTACCTCCCCCTCCACTTTCTGATCGCGGCGCACTACATGAATTTACCGGGCCGAGGCTGCCAACCTCAGCTCCACCGATCAAGGGGTCGTTGTGACGCCTCGAGACAGTGGCGCCACCTGGCCCGTGCGGCCGATGCTCCGGCCGCTCGCCAACGCGGGCATCGAATAACTCCAGGCGGGGCCCCCTGTGGGCAAAAGGGGGGGGAGGGCTGGCCTCAGGGAGGGAACCGTTGCCCTGGAGCCGGCGATGCGTCGCCGATGCAGGTCGACGGCAGGCCCTCGATCTGGCAGGGCCGCGTGCCCCCCGAGAGGGTGCAGCACCCGGGCCCCGCCCGGAGGCCCATGGGCGAGTGGGGCCCGTGCCTGGGCCAGCCCTCCCCGGGGGAGCGAAGAGTGGCACCAGCACAACAGCTCTGAGGCCTGCGCGGATTTCTCGGACCCGCGCTGGGCCCCCCCCCCGCCGGAGGCGCCGCCAGGGTGCCCCCCAGAGTTGTGGATGCCATGACAAGGGACACTCTGACAATCCTATCATTGAGTTAGAATTGTGCTTCAAATGTGTAAAACATGTTGAACAATGTTTCAAACATGGTTTTACAGATTTAAAACACATGTTTTAGACATCTGGGGATCATTTGGCGGCATGCGTCCTCTCCGTTCACCGACTTCCACAACCCTGGCGCGGATCCGAGGAATCCGCGCGGAGCTTCGAGCTTTTTGGTGCTTACGTCGTCCTCCGTTCCCCCACTCCCCCCCCCCCCCTCCCCTGTCTTGGGCGCCCGAGTTATCCGGGGTAACTCGGGTCCGGGGTAACTCGGGTTTGGGTTCCCGAAAAACGAACCCGAGTTAGCCCTGACCCGAGTTACCCCTGATGATTCGGGGCTCTGGACGCCCGAGATATCCGGGGTAACTCGGGTCCGGGGTAACTCGGGTTCGGAATCCCGAAAAACGAACCCGAGTTATCCCTGACCCGAGTTACCCCTGATGATTCGGGGCTCTGACTGTCGGCGCCCCCGCTCTGGCCAGGCGACCGAGGCGCCCGCGACCTGCACGCGCCGCGACGCCCCGGGCGGCGGAGCCGCGGGGCCGGGCATGCGCCCTCCCCGAGGCGCGCCGAGGCGGAGCGCGGCCGCCTCACCGGTCGAGCTCGACGGGGCAGGACGCGCGAGAGGGCGCAAGACCCTTCCGAGGGCCGCACTGCAGTGAGGTCGGGCGTGTCCCCCTACAGGGGGGTTTTCGAAAAAAAAAAAAAAAAAAAGTACCCCAAAAAGGTCAAAGCATACCCCAAACAGAGTTCCCAGACTAATTGTTAGACTATTTTTTGCACATTTTGGGGGTATTTTTATTTTTCGTCGAAGATCCCCCTGTAGGGGGACAGGCCCGACTTAACATTACAGTCGGACTTGATTGGACACAGAACACGCGAGAGGACACAAGACCCTTCCGAGGGCCACGTCGCCATAGGAGTGTAAGAAGGCGCGTGCCGCGAGGCACAAGGCGCAAGGGTACCCTTGAGCTGGCAGGGTCGACCTACTAATCCGGGCCGAGTGTAGGGGAACGAGCAGTGACAGAAACATAGAAAACTCGAAGGTCCGCGCGGATTTCTCGGATCCGAGCTGGACTCCCCTGGCGGCGCCTCCGGCGCCGCCCCCGGCGCGCTCCGCGCGCCAGGGAGGGGGGCCCCAGCGTGGATCCGGGAAATCCGCGCGGACCTCCGAGTCTTTCTGTTTATGCCACAGCTCGTTCCCCCTACACATTGCCACTGGAGTGCAGACAGCATGGGTCGCGAAACACAGGTCACAGGCTGGGGTACCCTTGATGTGGCTGGGTCGACCTGCGGTCGGGATCTTCTGCTTGGCGTGTCGCCGGCGGCGGCCCCATGCGACAGGGGCCGTGCCCGGCGAGGAAGGCGTGTCGCTCCGCTCCGCGGGGCGAGAGGACCGGGAAGTGCACTGCCTGTCGCGCCGCAGCGCAGCGGGCCAGAAACACAGCGGAGCGACGCGCCGAGCCAGAACTCCCGACCTCTACCGTCGGGCCCGGGACCCTCCGCCGACCGAGACACCCCAAGCCGTGCTGGTCACTCGAGGGTGCCCTCCCCCAGGGCGCACAAGAGCATCCAGGAATACGATTGGGGCAGCCTCCCCCAAGCGACCTCGACCTTCTGCCTCGGCCCGACCGCACTCGTCAAGCTCGACTGTGCCGCTTGGGGCGCAGGGCGGGCCTGACCGCCGCTGCCGCGGCGCACCTCGCCGCGCTGCGACCCCGAGGGGTGCCGCACAGGCGGGCCCGAGCGGGCGGGCGGAGCCGCGCCGGGGCCGCGCCGAGGCGGAGCGCTCAGCCCTCGGCCGGCGCCGCGGCCAGCGCCCGCCCCTCGCCCGCCGCGTCGCCCGGCAGCTCCTCGGCGCAGTCCTCGCCCGCGGAGAGGGCGGGCCGGACCGTCCAGTCGTGCTCGAAGCTGTGGGTCGGCCAGTCGTTCGCCGGCGCCGGGTCCAGGGCCCGCAGCAGCGACTGCAGGTAGGCGTAGTCCGGCCGCTGGTCGAAGCGCAGGGCCCTGCAGTACGCTATGTAGACCGCCATCTGCGGAGGGCACCCCTCGCACAGCTCCTCCACGGTCATGCGCTGCTTCCCCTCGAGGATCCTCGCGTGCCTGTCTGCCATCGACTGCGGGATGTCTTGCCACGGGAGCCCGCCGCGGAAGAAATACGCAATCATGTAGCCTACCGACTCGAGGTCGTCCCGCCGACTGAGCACCCTGCCAAAATGTGCGTTGATGCTGGCAAAGATTGGGTTCCACATCATGGCCTTCTCCTCTGACTGTGGGACGTGCTGTTCGGACTTGGCGTGCCAATATTTCTTCGCGGTCGTGAGACCGATCGCGTGCAGCTGGTTCAGATTGGAGTCCAGACCAACCTGCAGCGTCTCGGGGCGGACATCTCTATGAATGTAGCCCTTCGCGTGTATACGCTCGAGGATTCCGAACGCCTGGACAGCAATGTCTGCGATGACCCTGCTCGTGAAGCGGCTGCGGCAGTGGTGGAAGAGTGTCTTGAGCGACGGACCGTATCGCTCGACGACTGCGATGCTGACCCCTTCCCCCTTGCCGCTCCAGAGAAGCCGTGGGACGCCCGCGACGCTGGCGAGAGCCTGGTACGCCCTCCTCTCGCGGGGCAGCTGGTCGATGCGGGCGGAGTCGCTCTCCAGCTTGATGGCCACGGGCTTCCCCGTAGCTCGGTCCGTACCCTCGTGCACCCAGCACCTACGCCTGCACTTGATGGCCTGCGCGCCGAGCCGGAAGCGCCCGTCGCCGACGAGCGTCCCCATCCCTCGCGGCCGGCGCCGCCCGAGCTGCAGTGCGGGCCCGGCGCTGCCGCATCCCGTGAGCCAAAGTGGCTGCGGAGGGCCCCGTGGGGCGCCTCGGTCACGGCCGCCCCTGGAGCCGATCTGCGCCGCGCAGCCGCAGGTCGGGCGAGGAGGAGTGTGCGCGCGCATGGATCCTGGCGGTGTGATAAAAAGGCGGAGCCAAGGCTGGGACAACATCGGACGGGGATATCTCGGGGATCTCTGAGATCCAGCGGTGCTGGAAGATGCATCGGGCGCCGCGGCCGTTCCCGACTTCCAGAGCTCTCTGGAAATCTCTGCAGCAGCTCTGGAACGCTCTGAGGGAGGCGGCCTTCTTCGGAAGAAGAGGAGCTGGAACAAACCTAGACTTTCGGGGGTGCGCGAAGGCTTCTTGGATCGGCGCTGGACCTCCCTGGCTGGCACGCGGAGTGCTCTGAGGGCGGCGCTTGACTTCTCCAACTACGGACTGCAAACCCGGAGACGCAAAGAACGCAACAACAAGCGGTAATGCAAGAAGTCCCGTGAGTCACCACGCAAACTGCTCGCCCAAGGTGGCACGATCCGCCCAGTCGTATCATCAGCTAACCCAGGCGACCTCTGGGAGTAAAGGCGAAGTAGCCCAAGTCACGACGCATTGCCAAAGAGGCGAAAACATGACATAACTGACGCAACCGCAACACTAACGCAACGCCGGAGGAGGATATAAAAAGCCGACGTGCCAAACGATGACGATCTCGGCAAGACATCTCCTGAGAACACGTGGTGCAAATCGCAAAAGGCTCTTAAAACGCTCCCTGGCGGGCCGCGAGGCAAGCCGGGACGCCTCGCCACCGCTTGAAAGCGGACAAGAACTGCTGGCGGCCTTCGAAACCGTTCTCCCGATGACTACTTACCCCTTTCGATCGTGCCCCTCGGAGGCTGCGCGCCTCACGCCTGCCGACAGGCGGGGGGCCGGAACCTCCGATTGGCAGGCCCGGCGCCCCCCGATGCCACCCCCGCGCGGGCCTCGGCGCGCGCCGCCTGGGGCTCTCTGGCGCTGCCTCCTGGCTGAGCATCGTCTGACCGATCCCAGGAGAGGAGGAGGAGGAGGAGGAGGAGGAGGAGGAGGAGGAGGAGGAG